TAATTGAAAATGAGACATATTAGATAAATTAAAATATCATTAATGATTTATATTAAAATAAAAAAATAAAAAAACCAAAATTCATAATTTTTCATTCTCTATAAATAGAGACCACATTTGATATGTTTTTGAACATAATAAATATTTTTTTTCGTAATCAATTTATTATACTTATATAGAATGAACATGTTACATAATAAAATGAACATGTTATGGATTACAGAATGAAATAATACATGTTCATCTTATTTTATAACATGTTCATTTCATTTTGTAACATATTCATCTTATTTTATAACATGTTCATCTTATTGTGTAAATATGTAACATGTTCATCTTATTTTATAACATGTTCATTTCATTTTGTAACATATTCATCTTATTTTATAACATGTTCATCTTATTGTGTAAATATGTAACATATTCATCTTATTTTATAACATGTTCATATTATTGTGTAAATATGTAACATGTTCATCTTATTCTATAACATGTTCATCTTACTATGTAACATGTTCATTTTATTATAGATTTGCGTCTTCATCTTCCAATAAGATAAATCTATTACTATATAATAGAGAGAAGAAAAAATGTTTGAAAAATATTTTCACTTTGCCGCTCAAATCTTTTTTCCCCCCCCTAAAATTTTATTTGAAATTTTTTCATACATGTTTTCCTTATTTTGGATGATATTCCTTTCATATTGGACAAATTCCAGTTCCTTTTGATTTGGAAAAACCGAAAAAAAGAGGAATGCGCAAGTATTTTCACAATTGAATCTTTAGGAATCCGATTATATATTTCATCAATTAAGATAATGATATCAAAAATAGCAAATATAAGTGGTTTTAAGAATCTCCACTATCGGGTATTTTAATCATATTATTTGTAATTCAAACAATTTTATAAGGGATTGTCTTATTTCCTCTTATTTAATTGAGGTCTTATTTTCAAACAAATTTGAGCATTCCTCAAATTTGATATCGTTAGTATTTGTGAGCATTCAATTAAGATAACGACAAATTATCTAAACACGGGTCTTATTTCCTAATTTAATTGAGGTTCCCGACCATGAAGACCATGTTTGTATACAAATATTTTCACTCAAAAAAGGAGTTATTTTTGTTAGTTATAGTTTTTTT